TGGGGTCAGTATTTATTAGAGGAGTGATGCATACCCCCTCTCACCCTATCCGCCATTTCCACGGGGGCCAGGCTCCTCCCACCCATCTCTCCTCCGGTCTTTTGGTTACCATGGCGATGACGTCAGGTTGCACCACCGATTCAGGCCAGTAGAGACAATCTTAAAGGCGGCGCATCAAATCCTGCAGAATAATCAACCGCAGCTGCGCAGCAGGGACCCAGCATCACGTCTCTCTCTGCCGCTCAGATTCCCAGCTCCTCTTCGACCATCCTTTTATCTCTCTGTCAAAATGCGCGAAATTGTGCACCTGCAGGCCGGCCAGTGCGGAAACCAGATTGGAGCAAAGGTAGTTCTTGCAGCGCTTATATCTTCTTTTTTTCTTCCTTGCATTGTGGAAAGATCACATAAATGCGTCGTCGCGCACTAATCCATCCTCTCGGAATCTTCTAGAAGGAACCGAGTTCGGTTAGATATCGCGATCAGATTGTTGCTTTGCACAGAAAGGGTCAAATTCAACTTGCAGTAATCTGCAAACCGACTGAAAGATATGTAGTGCAGAACATCCACTGTTGTTATTTTATATAAAAAAAATAAAATGTACTATATTTTCTCATAAATGCATTCAAAATAATAGTTATAAATATATTATCCTTTATGTTGCATCAAAGTTTATTTGAAAGCAGACCGTTTGTGGTGAAACCTTATTGTTGATGAAGAAGCTGACTCCCATCCCCCCCTCATTTCTGACCTATTTCTATCAAACCATTTTCAGTCTAATCTTTTCTGCCTGAGCAATCATAATTAGATTGTTATAGTGTTTTTTTAATATAACATTGAATATATGTTGGAATTTATTTATAAAAATGACAAAATGAAAAAATCACCAAAATGACATTTGCCTGTCATATGTTTGATGGTTGTTTGTTTTTCTTTTTTTTTTTTTTTATAATTTATCTGCTTTTTATAAGCCTGTATTTTTGAAAATGCTGCTTGGTTTATGCATGTATTTCATGGCAGTAGGAGAATGTGAAGTCTGCTTGTTGTTTTCCCTCAGAATTGACTCGCCACGCCTCTTTTTCTCCACAGTTCTGGGAGGTAATCAGCGATGAGCACGGCATCGATCCCACCGGTACCTACCATGGAGACAGCGACCTGCAGCTAGACAGGATCAGTGTCTACTATAATGAGGCCACAGGTAGGCTGCAGAGCCAGCTGGATGAAAAGCTGGGGAAAAAATGTCATGATTTCATAGTTTAAGAGATTTTTGCCTGTTTTCAGGTGGGAAGTATGTGCCCCGTGCCATCCTGGTGGATCTGGAACCTGGTACGATGGATTCTGTCAGATCTGGTCCATTTGGGCAAATCTTCAGGCCGGACAATTTTGTGTTTGGTATGTAATTGGAATTTGTTGGGGGTTTTTTTGTTTTTTTTTTCATCTTCAGTGTGACTCAAATAAAGTGGAACGTTCTGGTCTACAGGTCAGAGTGGAGCTGGAAACAACTGGGCTAAGGGTCACTACACAGAGGGAGCAGAGCTGGTTGATTCTGTCCTGGATGTGGTTCGGAAAGAGGCCGAAAGCTGCGATTGCCTCCAGGGCTTTCAGCTTACTCACTCGCTGGGCGGAGGTACCGGCTCTGGGATGGGCACCCTGCTGATCAGCAAGATCCGTGAGGAGTACCCCGATCGCATCATGAACACCTTCAGCGTGGTGCCTTCACCCAAAGTGTCCGACACGGTGGTAGAACCCTACAACGCCACCCTCTCCGTCCACCAGCTGGTAGAGAACACAGATGAGACGTACTGCATTGACAATGAGGCCCTTTACGACATCTGCTTCCGTACGCTTAAACTCACCACTCCAACCTACGGAGATCTCAACCACTTGGTGTCGGCTACCATGAGCGGGGTCACCACCTGTCTGCGTTTCCCTGGCCAACTCAACGCCGATCTCCGTAAGCTAGCTGTAAACATGGTGCCATTCCCCCGTCTGCACTTCTTCATGCCAGGGTTCGCCCCCCTCACCAGCAGAGGCAGCCAGCAGTACCGTTCGCTCTCAGTGCCTGAGCTCACCCAGCAAATGTTCGACGCCAAGAACATGATGGCCGCCTGCGACCCGCGCCACGGCCGCTACCTCACCGTCGCCGCAGTCTTCAGGGGCCGAATGTCCATGAAAGAGGTGGATGAGCAAATGTTGAACGTGCAGAACAAGAACAGCAGCTACTTCGTGGAGTGGATCCCCAACAACGTGAAAACCGCAGTCTGTGACATCCCTCCGCGGGGCCTCAAGATGGCCGCCACTTTCATTGGCAACAGCACAGCCATCCAGGAGCTGTTCAAACGCATCTCAGAGCAGTTCACCGCCATGTTTCGCCGCAAGGCCTTCCTCCACTGGTACACAGGCGAAGGGATGGATGAAATGGAGTTCACCGAGGCTGAGAGCAACATGAACGACCTGGTGTCTGAATACCAACAGTACCAGGACGCGACCGCTGAGGAGGGCGAGTTCGAAGAGGAGGGAGAGGAGGAAGTCGCATAAGATAACCTCAACGCACACAGCTGCCATACCTCATTTCACACCCCCCAACCTTTTACCTCTTACCCCTCCCCTGCTGGTACTGAAAGGTTCTCCACTCTGAACAAACTAGATTGTCATTACTCTAGTGTTAGATGTTGATGTTAACTGGTACTAGTGATGTAATTGGTTACAGAGTTCTGTTCTTTGTGAAAGCACTGGATTATCAAGCTCCATACATTTGTCCTGTCATTGCCTTACCATGTCCAAAAGCAAGTGATTTCAACTGTGAAGCCTGGAAAATGGAGAATTGAATAAAATCACATTGAAAGGCCTGTTTTATGCGTGAGTTCATTCAGTGTGATCTCAAACTTATGTGTCACAGTCAATATACATTTATTGAAGGGCTCAAAGGTAATAATTAGTATCTACTAGGTATTTTAGTACTATTTGAATATTTCTTGATATTTAGTCTAAATTGGAATTCATTGAAAACATAAGCTCAGATGGGGAAAAAAAAAGTCAAATATTGTCAGATTGGAGGAATGGGATCTAAAGTCCACTTCTGTATGACTCATGACTTTACTTCATGCAGAAGATCATAAATGGTAGACAAGTAGGCAATCTTCAAGATAAATTCAGAGATGTGTGTTGCAATCTAATTCTAATGGAGTGGAATATTTGCAGAACTTATGCAAAAATGAATGTACTCTAACAATATTACTTAAATATTCTATTTATTATTGATGAAATTATTTGGGGTACCATTAGTATAGAAGTTATTGCCTGTACATAATCTATATGGAATATGCAAAAAGTTCAGTAATGCACTAATGATTTGAACTTTAACACCTTGTTAGCAGGACATATGTGGTGCCTCCAAATTTGCAGCCATATTTTACCACCACACGGCTACTGTCCCTCATTACAATGGTTTTATATGGTAGGCTGGACCCTATCAAGTGTACTTTTGTGTACTTTTCAGGCATTCCATTAATTGTTTGTGGTGATTTTGGTGTGGACAGTTTGCAAGTTAATTGAAGGAACAAAAGAAAATTACTCTGCCTCCACTGGTTTCTAAATGTATTTAAATCCAACCTCACGGGGCGGGGGGATGCAAAAATAGCTAAATGTACTGCAAAAAAATAAAACTCAAAAAGCCTAAACTGGATTCACTTAATCTATGCACGGTAGTTTTACTTCCACATTATTTCATGTGGGTTGAAGTCTGGACTACAAATATGGTATGAGTTTTTTCTTTCTTGTCTACTCTGTAGATCATTTTCCTGGGTTGACCTGGTTTAAGCCAAGTTTGAACTGTAAAAGAAAACATGGATCTATGATTGCTACTCTTAAGTATCTAGGGGTTAATTCTTGACTCAGTTACCATTGTCTTTAAAACAAGCACAAATCATGATTCCTCCACCTCCAAACTTGACCGCAGTTTAGACGACATGAATTGATGGATTGGATTAGGAACAAACTTCAATGCGTCCTTTTAACAGACAAGTCAAAATAAAGATAAGGAGAGGGAACTGGACCCTTCTCCCAGCACCAGTCATGTTCACCCAGAGAAGGCCAAGCCCTGTTCCTGGTCACTCTAACAGCTGATGGCCCACCTTGGCCCCTGGTAGAACGGTTCTCCAGCGTAGCAGAAGAGGAATGCTCAATAATCCTCAAACTACAGGGCAGGCCTTAGCCTTAGCTCTGATTTCTCACCATCCTTAAGAAAAGTTTGCTTAGTTTAAATATGCCTATACTTGCCTACCATAAAACACATTTCTTTGCAGTATTGTACCTGTAAAAGATATAAAACTGCTTGAACACATTCACTTACTAAGGATTAATGTAATTGATTTGTACAATCTTTTAGTTTTTTTAATCTGTTTAAATCTATTGCAAAAACAGCTGGGATCTTTTCTATGTATGGTTTGTTTTTAAATAGATTTCAAGGACTCTCTATTTTAAACCCCTAAAGAGTTTTTTATTATTTACTTAATTCTAACCTTGATTTAATTCAAACTGGGGCGAATTGTTAGACTCTTATTAATTGACTGCGCATTTGCTATGAGTCTTTTACAGCCCATAGAAATTCTTAGCGACTCAACTTAAAATCTTGCCTGTTCGAATTAATGCATTAATTATTATCATCCAAGGAAATGATGAAGCATGACTCGCATGACATCATCTTACATGAATTTAAGACCAGAGTTCAACCGAGCAACTCCAAGGCTGTCTTAAAATTTTTTTTAGCTAGATTCTTCTTCAGGATAATCTAGTGAAAATCAAAACTGATGTTTTCATCTGTTACGACAGTTCACCTACATCCTGAGGCGACCCAGATCGCAACTCCACTTACACATTTTACTGTAATGATAATTTTTCCATTAGTTTTATGCAAGATATAACAGAACCCACCGTTTCCCAAAATATCCTACTTTTATTTAGATCAGCTGTTTTTACTCAGATCTCATCGAGGAATTATCAGTGCATTGTGTTTTGATGACAAGATAGCGGTATCACGTTTATTTGGAGTTATCTGAGTCGATTCATTCATCCGACTGAATCATCATTCCGTCACAGAGGTCTGTGGTGTAAACTGAATCCCAGAAACACAACAGTTCAGTCTGTCTGTTTTTTATGAATTAGGACACTGACTGGCAGACGGGAACAGGACTTTCTTTCTGCTGGTTTCTCATAAGATAAGCTAACAATGTCTCTTTTTGTCCACTTTTCACATTCTGGTTACAGATAAGGCCTATCTGCACAGCTATTTGAGTGTTTTGAGACTTTTTGTGCAAGTACATCGATATGGTTCTTATTCTGTCATCCTGCATGTGAGTAGGGCAATAAAAACCGCTCCTTTTGATTTGTTTTTTAATTAATCCAAAGGAAACAGAACTTCAGCTAATAATTAGCCACATTTTCATCATCTTTAAGGCAATATTTGATTAAATGATTAATAACACAAATAAAACGTACAAATATCTCACTATTTAATTGGTAAAAGTATAAATAAACATGCAAAGGCACTGTAGAACATGTCTGCTCGATTACAATGAATTGATCTGAGGTTTAAAGCATGCCACTTTAAATAATGATTGCTCAGAGAATACTTGAAAATGTAAACATCTCATAGCTTTCTGCTTATGCTTTGAGAAAGTCAAAGCTAGAGGTTTCATGTTAAAATGAAATTATTTTTGGTTGTATTCATTAAAATTAAATCAAATTTAAAAAACTCAAAAAAATGAGTTTGAAGTTAGAGACCAGCACATTTAAACAAGTGATTTCATATGGGCTTAATCAAGTGGACTAAAGGCTACATTTTGAATTAACTACTAAAACAAATATAGAAAACATATCTAAACTACATTTGTTAGTGCCTATAAAATACTGCAGTTTGAAGTGTGCTTTTTAACATTCAGAGTTGATTGAAATATATAATTGCCCTGTATTCCCATTCTAAAATATCCAGCGCTCCTGTGTGGTGTGCTGGGCAGGAACAATTTAAGGCTTGTTAAAAATAAGGAAGCAATACGTTCATGCGTCATGCATCACTCACTCCCCGTCCTATCTCGTACCAGGAGTTATTCCTCAGCTTATCAGTCTAAAGATGGAAGTGTTTGCAGCTTTTTGTCCTTTTTGGTATTTCGCACAAATCTCAAATGAGTCTTTCCTCCTTTGGTAGCTTTAAGGCATCTGGTGCAGCCACGCTGCGAGTGCCAGACTGTTCCTCGGCGCTCGGTCGATACGTCCCTTCAGTCTGTCTTTTCTTCTTCACCACAAAGAACAGCCAGCCGAGAATAGCCAGAACGATGGCAAGAACTCCCAGGGTAACTGTCGGGGCCACGATGGCTGCAATGTTTGGTCCTTGAGCCTAGATGGAGTTAAACAGTTACAAGTAGTTAATAAATAACAGAAATTACTAACATTTCTTAAACATACAGCATGGTCCACACCTATGGTGCCCATGGTGAAGATGTTTGAAAAATCTTGAAATAACTTTGCTCTATGCAGTTTCCTCTGGCTGTATAAAGCACAGAGCAGACTGCTCTATTAAAACCATATTTGGCAAACTGGTTGTTTGCCACACTGCTTTAATCTCATCAGTTGGATAGTTTTTAAAACATTTTCTTGAAATTATTCATGTAAATACTGTGAAATTTTGTAGTATCACTCAAGATTATCATATTGCATGACGCCTCCTTGAATTAAATCTTCTATTTCATTTCCTATTTTGAAGAGAGGTGAAGAGAAATAAGACTTAAAGGATTCTTTATTCATCCCCAGGGGGATCATTTATAACAGCTGTAACAAAGGTAGTAATGTCAGTCTGTGTGAGTTTTATTTATAGGCCTGACAAACAGCAACTTACTTGCTTCAAAGGTAACTTATAAGTTAAAAAAATGCTTTGGCTGTATTTTATTTTCTACAAACCCAAGCTGTGGCACCAGATTATTCTGAAATCTACTGTTTGAGATTAAATTTTCACAATCATGTGCTGTGTTTTTCAACTTTTTCTACCTCCAGGTGCCCTCCTGCAATCACATGATTAATTTATTTTCCGCATTTCTTCAGCATAGATCATATTAATGGAGGAGGATGCTGTAAAACTGTTTCCTTACCGTATCATTATTAACAGTGGTAAAAGTTGTTGGAGCTGTGGAATTTCCTGTAAAGAAAATAAATACATTAAAACTGATTAAAAAGTGATTGTCAGGCATTTTTTTCTTCTCCATTCATGTCCTGATCTAATAAGATACATGGAAACTTGATAGATTCAACAAAGCTGATCTAGTAACCAGGCACTGGTTTGAGCTTCTGTTTTGTCATTATGTTCAAAATGAATTTTTAAGATGTCTGCTGGTAAACTACCCAATATTTTCCCTTTGTTTTTCAAAAGTACTTTTAAGCTAGAAAACTTGGTTACTTTGAATTTAAAATGATGACCCTGATCCCTGACTGGTTGCAGCAATTCTTCTGCATATTAGTGCCTCCAAGTTTTCTATTATTAGATATTTGTATTGTTTATTTTTTATTTTTTTAAATAGCTAAGGTGTTTTTTCTTCTCATCTGCATCTCCTCCACATAGCGACCACCAGCCATCAGCGCTCAGTGCTTTTGCAAATTGCAGCTGCCTTTGGGGCTCAAATTAAATTCGCTCTGGTCTCAGAAACTCTTAATGGTGAAAGCAAATAGCAAATAAAAATCCTCACTTCATTGCAGCAGACAGGTCCCCTTTTCCATCTGTTATCAATTGTTCACACAAACTTAGTAGATCGCCCACAACATGCCCGCTAATTGCAGTGCATTTTTTGTTTGCTAAAGCAATTTAGTGCTTCATATTTGGGATCTTAGTAGATCAGGATCACAGTCTTTTAACCTGTAGCCAAATTCTGTATGCAAGCAGAAAACGCAGTATATAAATGATCATGGTGGGTTTAGTTGTTTTGTTTTTTTTTTGCTTTTTGTTTTTTTTTTTACTGTTGGAGGTTAACATGAAATAAACCTCTGTGCTATTTTATTCAGCAATTCAATAATTTGACTTGTTAGGTAAAACAATCATTAAGGTTTCCACAGGATAACTCAATAAGTTAAACATTACGTTTACAAGCAAAGTAACAAAGTTATTCACTGTAAATTCAGGTTTATCTAAGGCTGCAATTAACAATTATTTTGCAAATCGATTAATCTGTTATTTTTCAGATTAATCGATCATAAACCGGATAGCCAGAGCTTCCTTAAAGAAGACTTTTTACAAAATTAAACCAGATAAAACTAACATTTTTCCGCTTGAGGAGTTCTGGATAGAGCATATTGATGGACACAAATGTTTTTTTGTCTTAAATTTTGGTATAATTGCTTCTCAAGTTGGGTCGCTCAATCAGCTAAAGGCATGTTTTATAGTTTCTGTACTCCAGTTAACGATTCATTGATTACTAAATGAATTGATGATTATTTGAATAATCGATTAATCACTCTTTATACGATTAATTGTTTCAGCCCTAGTTGTATCATTTACCGTAATTTTCTTTTTTTGTAGATCCATTATAGTGAAAAAAAAAATAGGTTAAAAAAATTTTAATCTATGCTCTCGAGCCTCTTCATTCGGCATGGCTGGTTGTGAGCTTGTTAAAACAAAGTGTGAAAGTCTGAAAGAGGAAGAAGGATGTTTCAGGACTTTAAGAAGGCATGATTATTGGTGCTGGACAACCAGTTATCTGTTTATCCTTAGAAACGGCTGATCTCCCCATGTTTACAGATAATAGTAAAAAGAAATGGAAATATCCAGTAAGCAGAAGTTGTTTGAAAAAAATAAATGCCTTGTTTATGTCAGGGATGGGAGGAGAATGGACAGATGACTGTGAGGTGATTGAAAGGTGGCTGTGGCTCCAATAACGACCCTTATAGTTCAACACATGAAATATCAACTTTAAAGGCTGGACCACAGCAGCAGCAGACCACACCTGGTGCCACTTCTTATAGCTTAGAACTGAGGCTATAATTCCCATTTGCCAGGACCTATGACAGATGATTAGCGTGACATGAAATCTCCTATCTTATTTCATTTTTAAAAATTTTTTCTCTTGATAAATTTCCAAAGTTATTTTCCTATTAACTTTAGCTGAGGCCTGAGTCCAAAGTTTTCTAAGCCTGTCCTTTCTTTTTTTTTCTATTTCATGTTTTTTTCTTAGATAGTTCTAGTTGACTGATTTGTTTATTGACTATAATAGTTTTGATTCTATTTTTTAGAACTAAAAACACAATAAAAAGATCTATCAATTTAAACTAATTCCCTCTCATTTTACAATCATATCTTTACCAACGGTTCACAGATCAGGACAATGAAACCAAATCTAAAGCTATTTTTGTAACTACTGCCCACTCTCGAGCAACCAGCATTCCAGATACTCCTCCAGTTAGGTGCTGCTTATCAGCCATTTGATCCTCATCCAGCCATGTGACCGCTCACTTACCACATTAAGCTTCATTGTAACTTCTACACCGGCAGAGCAAATAAGCAGCAAGATGAGGAAAATGGGAAAACAGAGTCAACCAGTTTGAACAATAAAGAGGGAAAACAACTCTAATGTGCCTGTTTTGTTTGTGTTCGGCATACTAAAGAGCCGTGTTAAAAAGGAAAGTTTTGTTTTGAAAACTGAAACCTGTTCCGAAGGTATCCTGAGTAAATCATTCACTAAACGGCAAAGAGTGAGATTCTCTAAGGACGAAAGTACAACTTGATAACAGCCAGGGGTCAGAGGAGGGACACTGCAAAACAGATTTGGTTCTGCATGTAGGATTCAATTGGGTTTAAATACCTTTTTGAAACAAACTGTGTCTTTAAATCCACTATTCTTAGAAAATGCTGACAAGCCTTTACATGGATCGGCTTTGATCTCCAGAGATGCTTTTGGGAAAGATTTAAAGGTATGATTGCGTATGTCAAGGTGTGGTCAGATGGATAGCTCATTTGTATGGGAGTGTTGAGAATGGCTGCTTACTCACCCCACACTGGATTACTGCTCAGCACCAGCAGTAAAACGCTCCCAACCACGGCTTCAGGTAAAGGCAGCACCTCAGGAAATGCTGCCATCTCTGCAGGGCCAACTGAGGGCGGATTGGGCTAACCGGGCATCAGCTTGGGTCCATTTCACCTCTTCCACCTCTCACTGGGAGAATTCAGCGCCTCCTTTTAAGAGCTGCAACACAATATTATTATTATTATTATTAAAGTGGAGGAAATGTCCTTGTTCGTTCAGTCAGACACCATGTATTGTGTGGCTGCGTCAGGCAGCTGATACCACAACACTGACTCACATTCATCCTGCTGCTGAATCATCATCTAACAGCTCACAGTGTTTTGAAAATAAGAAGCTATTAATAGGAAATAGTTTGTAATTTTAATACCAATTGAAAATACAAAGTTTACAGTAATACTTTGAAGATCTGTTGAATAAATGAAGCAGCTACCTGTTTTGATCAGGATGGTGGAAGTTGGGGGCATGGAGCAGGTTGATCCTTCTATTATTGGCAGCTTCCTCCTCACTTTTCAGCAGAAAAGAGCATCCAGATTAAAAAAAAAAAAGAGCAACAAAAAGCAAACTTAAAGAACTGAAATACACCGTCAGACTACAGCCTAAGCTGCTCTTCCAGTTGATATTTTATGCAAAGCTTTTTTTTTTCCTTTCTCAAAGAACCTCATTGGTCAGACGCTTCAGTTTCATGTTACCTGCGCGCAGTTATCTACCTGCAGCCGGGCGCACAGATCCTCCTTTGTGCCAAAGTCGGGGAAAAAAGGTTCAGTCAAATGAAGCAGAACAGTTCCCTCCTCCTTTAGACTTTAAATGGAAAAAAAAAAAGAAAATATCCCACTCCGTTTCCTCCTAATTCTTATAAAGGACCTATAATGTGGTGTGATTAATCCTGGTTTCTGCCACTTGCTCCCCTACCTGGAGGAGGACAGTGTTTAACTCCCTATCCTGCTCTTACCTAACAACCTGCTCATAAGGGAGGTGCTAAACAGCGCCTCCACGGGGTCCAACCATTCCAAACATCAGAAAGGATCTCAGAATTCCTGGGATATTTGAAGGATGAATTTAGGAGGCCAGCAGGTCCACTGGGTTTTAATCCTCCAGTAATCTGAACTTCTTAGACTGGCGGGGGGGCAAAGAAAATGTTGCATGCTTCAGGTTTAATTACTGCATGTTTGGATCAAGCACTTTGTCATTCTGTTTTAAATGCTTTCCTGTGGAAACTAACAGGAGGTGGATTTCTTTCTTTCTTTCTTTCTTTTTTTACTTTATCTTATTATTGGCAATTAATGATGCAGGAGTAAAATATTATGCTGGGAAAAATGGCTGGGAAAGGTGAGAGAAGGGTAACATTCAGGATCCATGAAACTCCATACAGTGCCTTTTTGCAAATAAAAATTATCTATGTTTAATTAGCAGCATGATGTTGATTAATTGGTACAAGAAAATGGTCCAACATAAAGCTTTTAACTTTAGCTGTAATGTTTTTGCATAAATTTGTGGGTTTTGATGCAAAAAGCAAAACATGTTGGGTGTACATTATATAGAGACTGAATTTTAAACCCCCCAAAAAAAAGAAAGAAAAAAAAGAAATGGATTATCTCTTGTATGCTGTTTTAATATAATTACTATTTCCATGGATTTAAACGGTATATAGTCAATAAACAAATTGACCCATGAAATAAATATATATAATAAAAATATATAATACATTTTATATAGGATTTTAACAGACATTTGAATAAGATTGATAAAATCTTCTCACATTCCTTACACAAATATTATAAGATTTCCTAACAATCATTAGTCCTGATGTTAAGTTTTTGGACACAAAATGTAACCTAAAAATAAATAGAACTCACTACAAATAGTTTTTGGTCCAAGTGAAAAAAAAAAAAAAAGTTGCGCAATAGTAAAATATGTTTTTTTTTTCCTTCGTAACCAGAAACTATAGGTTAATTTAAAATAATGTTTATCATTTATAATGCAAGGGTACATTTCAATATTTATAGATTTGCTTTAAAAACAAACATCAGTTAAGGATGAAAATACAAAACATCATATTTAAATTCTTTCTTTTAGGTTAACAAAATACATATCGATATTTCAGACAATTTGTCTTAACTTTTCCAAGCAAAAGACAACCTTGTTTACATGTAAAAAAAAAAAAAAAAAGGTTTAAAAGTGACGTTTCATATTTTCACCGCTGGGTGTCAGTAAAGAGTAAGCGTGATCAGTAGAGAGTGATTAGGTGCTTACGGCTTGCCATACTCGCGGTGACATCTGGGTAGGACAGTCAAAGCGGCGGGAGGGCGGCAAATTAACGTGTAATTCCAACATAAGCGGTCTTGTTTAGCTTTGAAATTGTAGGTAGTTAAAATATTATCGGTGTGATTAAGGTACGAGTTTGAACGCCAAAGGATGTGCCCATGGTAGACCTGTTTATCGAGTTCCTGTGCTGCTGTTAAAGCTCTCCCGGGAAACTGGACGTTTGTTTTTATTAGCTCCGGATAAAAGCACCGTAGTAACAATGGCAAAGGTTCAAGTGTTGAATGTGGCTGTTTTAGACAACCCGAGCCCTTTTGGAAACCCCTTTCAGTTTGAAATCACCTTCGAGTGCATGGAAGACCTCCCTGAAGGTGGGTACCATCGCACACAATACATGTTTGGATGCGAATGCTAACGGCTATCAGCTTACTTTAGTTACAGTTTACTCTGATATGACGGTAAAACTGACGTCATTATTCCTCAGGATAGATTTGGCTGCATTGTATTTACTGTTTCGTTTCACTGTAGATGTGGTTTGCTGAGACAGAAGTTACAAATGACATTCCCATATCAGTTTACTGAAAGTAAGCAGTTATTTAAATGACTTCGTGCTGTAAAGAAAAATATTTTGATAAGTATTCCAAAAAAAAAAGAAAAAGAATCCACTGGACTTTGTTTCCAAAGTTTCCATTTCCTGGGATTGTTTTTAAATTTCTATTTTTGGAATGACTATGACCTGGATACGGAAGAGGATTAGGGCCACTAAAAAATAAGAGTTAACTGATTTTTACATTTTATTATAGTATAATATGGGGAAAAAAAGTCAGAATTCTGACTTTAATCTCAGAAAGATATTTCAACAGAGCACAACTCAAAATATGTTTTAACTTTGGAAACTATTTCATCTTCTAAATTAGATCTTTATTATGTTTTAAGTATCAAATTATTTGAGAAAATAAATTTGAATTACTCATCTAAATGCTGGTGAAGGTTCTTAGTCATCCAGGTATGGAAGAGGATTAGGGACACTGAAAAAAAAAAATTGAAAAAAAATTATTTTTTTTTTTTCATTTTAATATGGGGAAAAGGGTCAGAATTCTGACTTCAATCTCAGAATTCTGACTTTTTTTCTCACAATTCAGACTTTTTTCTCTCACAATTCTGACTTTAATCTCTGAATTCTGACAGCTAACAAACATGTTAGCATCAAGCCATACCCACGTCTGTTTTAGAGATTATCTCTCTTGTTTTAATCACCTTCTGCTCTTCCATTAATGAAATGGCATCACTGCAGACCCCTCGGGCACGTAAAAAGTTGCCTAATTGCATAATTTTCCAGCAATGTGTTACTGACCCTCTCAAACACCTTTGTCAGTGAAGCTGAGTGCTCCCACATCTCTTCCTTCATGGTGCCCATCTACATTAAGATCCAAAATTCCAAGATTAAAGTCAGAAATCTGATATTAAAGTCAGAATTCTGATGAAAAAGTCAGAATTCTGAGAATAAAGTTAGAATTCTGAGATTAAAGTCAGAATTCAGACTTTTTTCCATATTAAACTGGAAAAAAAATAAAAAATCAGTCAAGTTTTTCAAGCATTTTGATAAGTAATTCAAAATTGTTTTCTAACATAATGTGATACTTCAAACATAATAAAGAGCTAATTTAGGAGAGGAAATAGGTTCCAAAGTTAACACATATTTACAGTTGTGCTTTGATGAAATATCTTTTGATTAAGTTTCAGTATCCAGTTTTACTTTACTTTACTACCTGACTTCGATCTCACATAATGGTATTGAAATTAGACAGATAGCCTTGAAAATCGTTCAGATCCAAAGCCTTTTATCTGATTGAATGTACAGTAACAGATAATGGATGAAAATGCTGAATTTGGTCATTTGGTTGATTAAAATAGTGACAGGAATCTCCAACATCTGCTGGTTTTGTTGAACATAATGCGACAGTCGTCCATTCTCCTGATGAGTAGGGATATAACACAAGAATCTTCTCTTCTACTGGAAATATGAAACCAAATCTGAAATCTTACCCTGCATCCATGTAATCTTCAAATAGTAGAATATCAAAATTATTATATAAAATACACTATAAACAATGGTCTAGTAAATAATTTTATAATTTAGATGCAACTAACCCAGAGATAGGATTATTAATAATTTTTTCTTTGAACCAGGGACAATCTGAGAGCGTCTGATTGCTTGACAGCAGGATCCTGGATTAAATACAATTATGTAAAAAAAAAAACAAAAAAAACAAACAAAAAAAGGCTTTTAAATGCTATTTCTGCAGACTATTCAAACAGCATCAAGGTCTGTATGATCTACAATGTGAAGACTGGTCGATTCCAAAAATACAAAATATGTAACTTTTTACCTGATTATCTACAGCTGAAATAAAATAAAGAGAGGTCCATATAAAAGTTTTAGGCTGCATCGGATGCCTTAAAAGTTTTCTTTTACTGTTAAGTTGTTTTAATAAGCGCACACAGACGTGCATCTATTTTCATTCAAAGTTACAGTGATGTTTAGGGAAACTTGTGTTGGAGCTGAAAATGTTCTTCAGCGTATCTCAGAGTCTCCATGAGGTCAGGGTGTGGTATCTGTTAGCCCATGTGTGGAAACTAAGCCTCATGCTTCTTTAATCAATATAAGTTTGTTTTTTTACTCTTTATGCCTAAAGGTGAACAACCGCCTTAAATTTAACCTCACATCCATGTGTTGTACTCCTCTTTATTCATTCCTAATGGTATTTTATGTCTTTTATTAGACCTGGAATGGAAGATCATTTATGTTGGTTCAGCAGAGAGTGAGGAGTACGACCAAATCCTGGACTCTGTTTTAGTTGGTCCTGTACCTGCTGGCAGACACATGTTTGTGTTTCAGGTGCGTTCAATGTTACAAGTACTCTGAATGTTGCTATTTACTTAGCCTTTCTAAGATTTATTTATTTTTTTTTTTTTGGTTTCTGTTGACAGGCTGATGCCCCAAACACTGGTTTGATTCCTGAAAGTGATGCCGTTGGCGTAACTGTAGTTCTCATTACATGCACATATCGTGGCCAGGAGTTTATTCGCATTGGTTACTATGTGAACAATGAATACACAGACCCAGAGCTTCGAGAAAACCCTCCAATTAAGCCGGACTACACACAGGTGAGTCTTCTTGTAGAACCATACCTTCTTTTATTTTCCTTTTTAACAAAAAACTCTGCTGCAGCAGCCCTACATGTATTACCCTCTGGTGTGTCACCGGTGCCTGCGATTAACAAACAAAACAACACATTAGGAGACAACAAATGTCAATAACAAGCACTCAAAATAACATTAAAACATAATATTGGGGTTAAAATAACTTTGTATATACAAAAAAAAAAAACACTAAGAAAAATGGTCTTACCAGGGTGGCATTTCTGTTTGCTGGTGGTTTCCTTCTCTGGTGTGTGGTTGACCAAAAATGCTACTGTCATTGAGTCAGGTTCAAGTGGCGATAAGGTGCAGAGATGTCCTTGTCCTCCTTTTTGTTGTGGCTTTAAAAAAAATCTCATGAAGCCCAAAATTTTAACTTTTCTTGACATTTTTTTATTCTAATATCTGCGAGGATTACACATAAAACCTAATTATATATGCAGTCAACTTTACTGCTCCATCATAACAGTTTCTCTTGTTTGCTTTGTTTTATATTTTCAGCTTCAGAGAAATATTCTAGCTTCAAACCCACGTGTAACAAGATTCCACATAAACTGGGAAGGCTGCGCAGAGAAAATGGAAGACTCTGAAAACGTGGATCCTACGTCAAGCTCCATGCTGCCCCCATCCTGTTTACCAGGCAAGGCCCCTCCTGTGGGCATACTACCAGATAACTCTATGGATTGCTTATAGAGATTCTCCAAAAGCGACGACTCAAAGCAAATTACCTTATTTTTAAGGTTGACTGTGGCAAAAAAAAGGACTCGCAATCTGTGTTTATTCCATTTAAGTGTGAACATCCTAATGGAATCATTATTCTTTATGAAGGTGGAGTTCTTGTGATAATGTGTCAACTTTGAAGTGTGAAAAACAAACGGCAAAGAAAAATGATACAGCGGCACTAAATTTAACAGCTGCGTATAACTTGCCCACAGGTTCTGGTTGCAGAGTTGATTTGTAACTGATTTGATGTTACTGCGCTGAAGTATTGTAAACATCAACATGCATTTCGAGTTTTGGTAATTTAATAATATTTCTGATGAATTGCACTTAAAATATTAGAATTTCTTTTTTGTTTAGCAAAAGCTTTGTAAGAACTGTATCACCTTGTCTTTTTGGTGCATTTCCAGATTGCAGTTTTGTTACAAATAGAAAAACATTGTTATATTCCTGTGTGTGGCTGTTTTCTTCATATTCCCTTGGAAACCAGAGTTATTTTTTTTTTCAGATTTTTTTTCCTTACAGAAACCATTTTCATAAAGAAAGAATTGGATCATCAGGTGATCAGTTCCCCGATTTTTTTGCCATTTTTTTTTTTTTGGTCGGGATAAATTAAAAGAAATTCAGTTTAAAACTGAGACCAAAACTGCATCCAGCTGCATTGGGCAGAACTGAATCCTGACCAAGATTGAAGCTCTGAGCCAAAAGGTTTACCAAAGTATTAGGACTAAATCAAAAATCCCAATGTGACAACCAGGACATTGATAAAGTGCTATATTCTGGCAGAATATGGATGTCAGACAGGTATGTACAGATATTTGGACCCATAATGTAAAGCATATGGTGTAATACCGAAAGCAGCAACGTGTTATTTCTTCACTAGGTGCGATACATGAATGAGATGAATAAATTATTCCTTAAGGATCTTTGGGTGAAGAGCGAAGTTAAGTTAACAGAAAATCTACTCTTTCTGAAACTTAACATTAATAATGTCTATAGTAAGGTGTTTGTTGGCGGCAGGGCAGGTTACAGGCAGGAGCAGAGCTGGATGGGGGGCCATGGCCACCCTTAGCCAATCATTTGCCACCCCTGTGGCCACCCCTTCCATTTTTTTCCCTCTAATACAGATGGTGACAGCAGCAATACTCTAAAGTGGAATATTCAGAACATTTTAATTTTTCATATATTAACAATAACTTGACAACAAAAACACTGTGGTTAATCATGCACATCAATATACTAACATTAAAGACGATAAGTATGGAATTTGTCCACTTTTCAGAACTAGATTTTGTTTTATATGGGGTAAAGAGAGAAGGGTGTGTCTGCAAGTCACCTAGGAGTCTTCAGTCAAATCATAGATAACTATTTTAATAAAAACTTATTAAATAATCAATATATGTAGATATTAGTACTTGTAAATATCAATTTTATGCAGAGTGATTATTGATAAAAGGTAATTACTGACATTCATGTTTGTTTTTTTTCTTATATTGTGCTGTGCGCTGTCCTAATTTTTCTTATCCACGTAATTTAAAACTCCAGTCACCCAATAACCGCAATAGATTTACAGCCCATGCTAATTTATATAAACTGTGCTAAACAAAGATTTTAGTTTGCAATATTTTATACTTTTTAAACAAGTAACTTTTAGAATCAGAGCTGTGTCAGTAGTACTATTCTTCTCCACCAGAAGGCACTCAGATGGCAGCTTTTTATTTCTATTTAAAGAATGTTTTTTAATATCAGTTTTCTGACAAATAACCACCTTATCTAAAAGCTAATAAAAGAAACATTAAATTTAAGAATAGGAATTAATGAAGAAAAAAAATTACAATTACATTAAAGGGATTTCCAGTCATGTGATGTGGTTTGACATTTGTGCTGTCAACTTACATTAAAGCTATAGAAAATAATGAATGTTGGTTACAGAAACATAAAAAAATGAATCAACCTTTGATACAACAAAAAAAAAAGATAAAACGTTTTTTGTTTTTTTATCTGTTCAGTACAGTAAAGTGAGTTGACATTAGTTCTGTGTCCGTTGGCCCCTATACCAGAAACCAATTAAATTACCACAAATTAATGTCTCAACTGATCTGTTGCAAAAACATAAACTAGATGCAGAGGACATCTGGAGGGAGGAAAGTAAAGACATGTTTGTCTTTCAATCTTTTTTTAAACACTTAGGTTCCTTCCAAATTGTCTTGTTTCACATTCTGTGCGGTCAACAGAACACTATCCTGGCTGTGCTAAATCCAGGCAGTTGCATATATTTAACATCATTTATAACAGCATAACTTATATTATCTAACCACTGATACCAAAAGCCCGATTTGTTTGCTTGACCCCAGTAACTCACGTTCAAGTTCCAGAGAATTATTCTAAAATTGTCCACCCTTAATTGGAAAAGCTGCACAGAAAGACTGGAAATGTGGATCCTACTTCAGACTCCATGCTGCCCCCATCCTGTCAGCCAGGAAAGGCTCTACCTGTAGGCATACTACCAGATAATCTATGGATTACTTATAGATATCAAAAATGTAAAAACACAAAGCAAATGACCTGCCTTTATACATTCTAATGAGGCTGAAATGATATACAGATGTGATTAGATTATGAACATCTAAATGGAATCATTGTTCTTTATAAAGATGTGATTATGTAAAAGCATGCAATAAAATGATACAGCTGCACAGATTTTTTTTTATGCTTATCTTGTCCCGACATTAATTGATTTGATTTAAAATACCAGTCTTAAATTGCAGTACCATATTTACTGCAATTTACTACCATAAATTGCAGTCTTATATTACGAATAAAAAAAAATCAATTTTTTATCTTTCTGTGCCAGCCTCTTTTTTTTTTCACTTGCAGGCAAATGTTATTTTCTGTATTCAGAATTTATACATCTGATTTGAACTAAAGTGCCAGCTGTGTTCTCTTCGTATTGTCACATTTTACTAAAAATAGCCCGTGTTAACGTCACGCCCAGTTACATTGACCGTGTAAACTAGCTGAAATATCAGTATAACTGAAACAATCATTGAACAGTGTAGAATATGTAACTGTTGTTCTCTGCCTAATTGTATCAGTGTAAGGCTAGTATTTTATAGTTTAAAGCCAAAAATACACGCACATGCGTAATGGTTAGTGACAAGTCAGGAGGGCGGGACATTGGCTTCAAGGAACCAATCGCATCAATGCAATGTTTTGTTACACTCCTGCTCATCCAATAAGAGCTTTCTCTGTGTCATTCGTCATGGACATTTTTGAGTATCAGCGAATCAGAAACGAGAAGAGGCGGGACCAGATGGATGGATGGGTGACTGGAGTTTCCCTTGCGGTCTGAAGATTAATGGAAGAGGTCTGTTGATCCGGAGAATCGACTATCAGGTGGTCGGTCGCAGGATTTTGTTGTTGCACTTCACGGCTTGTCAAGGGACGAATGGAAACATATCAGTGAAAATAACCGACTGTTGGAAAAAAACGGGTTAACCAGAAACAAATTCTGTCAATCCAAGGCCCGAGACAGCACCTGGTTCGTTAAGGCCAGGATCTGACTGCAAGGAACGCTAAATGCTAATGTCAGCTTGCTAGTAAAAAAAAAAACACATAAAAACACATTTCGACGATTTGCATCGGAACCGGATATTGGAGAAGACCGAACCGCCAGTGGAATAAAGGAGAAGCAGATTGACAACTGCAGGATTCGTCGGCGCTCTGTTGGAATTCTTTGAGCTAACGTCAGTAAGCTGATATCTGCTTGCTATCTTCGCGAGCTAACGCGCGAGCTTAGCTAACCAGCAGTCAGTTTTAGCTCCAGGATTGGCGACGGTCCTCTGACTGAAGTTTTTTTTTTTCCGTACTCACAACTGAACGAAGAAACGCGAAAAGAATAATTTTCCACTGCATTCGTTTTTAATAATGCTAACCACCAGCTAGTATAGCTAGCTGACAGCTTCGTCGAGTTCAACGACTTCCTTAGTGGATTACTAGAACCAAGCGACTTTTCAGAGAGAGTCAATCGGACCGAGAGGCACCACTATCAGGCTGCAATCATGGGCAACACGCCCACCGCGAAGAAAGGCAATGAAATGGAAAGTGGTGAGTACACCCAGTTTGACAGCAGCAAAATAATATAATTGCATAATGTAGTAGTGGCTATTTATAACTTGATATGATTTGTTTTCATTGAGTTGGCCATGGTTAAGTTTCTGATCATGGTTACTACATGAAATAAAAACAATATTGTTTCTGATTATACAAAAAACATGGTAAATAAAATCCAAGCATATACAAACAGCATTTTATGCATCAAATAAGTGTAAATAGTTTTGGGTTTAACCATTTACTGCCATGCTCTCTCGACATGACAGCAGTTTATGGGCTAATAATTGATAAATAATGCAGGATTTTAGATTATCTCATTCACTCACACGCAAAGTCAGGCCAAATATTTGGATCACAGTCATCAGCAGTAGCTGCTATTCAGTCTCATCCTGTGGGAAAGCTCGTGATCTTAAGCCCCAGGTTATGTTCAGAGGTACCAGTGGTTACAACAGCAGCAAGATCTGTGGAAAAGTCATAGGTTTTCTTGAGGTTTATGGTTTGCAGATCTTTTTTCCAAGTCACCACTTTGCAACAAGAATACATATTCATCAGAATTCAGATGTAGAAAGTTTCACAAAGTTCTGTCATTAAGGTGAAGTTATTTAATTAGCATTTAGTGAGTTGCAAATTGAATATTGAGTTGTTTGTTAATAGTTCAAAGAAATAAGAGATACCAGGGCTGAGTCATATGATGCATGATGATGATCTACTCCAGGCAGAAACTTAGGAGTTGAAGAGTCTCTTGAACACCATGTGATGAGGGCAGTTTGAAACAAGGGTGCCTGTATGTGTCGCCTGTGTTTTCTGGGTTTATATTCTGCCCTGATCTGGAGCAATTGTTTTATGCTTTTGTTCTCTGTGACTTGAACAAAGTTTTATCATCATGCAGTGTTATTACAAGTTATCTAAAGGTTGTTTTTAAGAACTGATCTAAACTTCTTTTTTTTTTTTTATCTCATCAGGCTTACAGAATTACAGAAGGGTAACTTTTTATCTGCTTCTTTATAACAGCACTAATAGTCTCTGAGTGTGCAAAATCTGAACGTGGAGCTGTGAAATAATCATCAGCTACTTGTTACTGCTAGAGTGTGGGTGTGAGCCCCAGTCTCTGTGACTTCAGACCCTTTGGATATCATAGTTTGCAAGTTGTTTTGTATTTATGATTGAATGATTTAGAATAGAACACAGTTTCTGTTGTTTTTTCTTTTTTTTTGTAGGGACAAAATGAATTATTGGAAGGACAGAGGAGGTGGTCCTTTCAAGTTTGACTATATCTCATGCTTCGCATTCTTATCAGCCTGATTGCTGTTGGTCCACCCTGATCTCCAGAGAC